TTTAAAGAGCTGCTCCAAACCCACATAGAGACTGGCCTGTCCTCAGCCCCCCACCCACACTGCAGGAATCCCTTTGGTTCAGGTAAAGACAGACAGCTTGTACCTGTTCCCTAAGAGGGAGATGCTGGCTCATTAGCTGCTCAGTGAGTCAGAGCCCTGGACACAGAAGGGCCACCACTCCAAAACTCAGCGCAAGGTGGCAGACCTACTGTAAGTGTGCATTCTCTGGATGGGATGGGGGTTGAGGGTTAGGTAGTCTCCACTGGGTTGGTTACCCAGCAACATGGTGAAGATGGCAAGGTTTTTCAGAGCAGGGCTCTTCCTTCTCTTTCCCCAAGGGAGGGTCCTTGAACTCTCCCAGGACACAGTATCTGGCAGGGTCAAGGGCACTTCTCTTCCACACCCCACCCCCAACTTCCCTGAAGGTCTGGTCTGTCCAGTTTCATTGGCCCTGGAGCTTTTGTAGATTAGGATTTTATTCCTACCTACCTGGGTGTGAATGGTACAATGCAGGCAATCCTTCCTGAGTTCACCCACTTCCTGCTTTTCAGTCTGCCTAAAAGCAACCTAAGAAGAGCCCTTGTGTGGTACTTGTAGGCCTGTGTCAGGCTAAATGACCCTGGCTTCCAAACTCCTCTTTTTGAATAGGTACTGAGAGAGGTAGCTCATCCTATCCTAGGGCAAGATCAATGCTGTGGGAAGGAGCTGCCCCCAGCTGCCTCCAAATGTGAGGGCCCAGCCACCTCTGTGCAGACCAGCATCATATTCAGACCCCAGGGCTCAAGTCTTGATCAGGAATCAAGGCTCAATCAAGGCTCTAGGCCATGGAGTCTCAGGATGCCTGAGGAATCTGTACAGTGGGGTGTGGTGGGAAAGGAAGTGCAGGCCTGCCCCATCCACCAGGTTTCCTGTGGACCTATCTAGGGCCATTGTTGGAAACTGGAAACCTCTTCTCAAGGGTGCTATTTATTTATTTATTGTAGTTGTAGATGGACAGAATGCCTTTATTTTGTTTATTTTTATGTGATGCTCAGGATCGAACCAGTGCCTCACATATGCTAGGCAAGCACTCTACTGCTGAGCTACAGCCCTAGCCCCTCAAGGGTGCTATTTTAAATGATTCAACAAGCCCATACCAATACACCCCTGCCCCACCCACTACACTTCCACTGATTGTTGGTGTGTGTGTGTGTGAATGTATATGTTGCTGGGATTGAATCTAGGGCATTGAGCATGCCAGGCTGAGCCACATACTCAGCCCTACATTGATTATTAAACAGGAGTTGGCCTGGCTTGGTTTCTGGAAAGTCTCCTTTAAGTGCTGGGTTCCCAAGTGAGGACTTAGAAGCCTGTGCATAGAGGCGGGAGAAGGTTGCACCAGGGGATCAGGGATTCATCTTTGTTGAATGATAAGAATTTCTCTTAATCTTTTGGGGGCCTTCAACTGACAGGAACTGAAAACCTCTTTAAATAACATTTGCCACACTTCGTCCTATTTCTTATTTACTTTCAATGTTTTAATAACTTCTCTAGGCAGCTGAGCAGCTTAAGGGATTCTGGTTTGAGGTTCTCCTTTGTGGATAGGCTTTGCTTGGTACTGGGCCTCAGAGTTGAGTGACAGGGTTAAAGAGCTTTCTCCAGAGGCCAGGGCAGAGGCCTAAAGCACCCTCCTTCACCCCATCAGTTGCTTAACTGGTCTGGGCTCCTGTGTAAGTTACCCCCAAGACAGTACATACTAATTGACTTCTCTGCTGCACAGAGGTGGCGACCTGCTTTGGGGTACCTAAGCCCAGACTGGGCCCAGACACCTCTCACTTTATGTTACTTTCTTGTCTTCCAGACTGATTGTTAGCCCTGCCCTGGGCAGCTTTAGACTAGTGACAACCAGACCACCCTCACTCACAGCCTCCCTTACCATAAGACTGAGAAATGCTCTAAGTGGAGAAGATAGGTTGAATTGGTTTGACAAAGGATGCTGAGGCTGGAAGGGGTGAGGTAACATGTCAAAGAGTATACCAGGAAGTCATCAACACAGCCCAAGTGGTCACAGCCTTGTCCCTTCCAGCCCTACCCTTCCATACCATCTCCTTTCTGTTATTCATTAAAAGACATTCAATACATGTACATGGAATTAACTTATGAGAGATTTGGTGAGGTAGGAATCACATAGGCCACATAGAAGTAAATCGAGCTGTTAAGGACTCCAAATGGGGACTCAGGGAAGAGTTGGAGAAAAGGGCAAGGTTGGAAATGAAGAAGACTTGTGTTTGTTGGGGAGGGGGTAGAAGCAGGGAACCATGGCACCTTCAGATCTCTAACACTCTAAGCTATGTCATAGTCACCTAAGGTTCTGATCATTGCAACCACAGTTGGAAGCTTCAGACCAAGTGCTTCAGCTACTCCTATAAGGAGGAGCTTTCTCTAGAGCAGAGATGGAAACACCTCCCTCGAAGAGTAGGAGCAACCCTTTTCACTTTAGAAGTCTGTACCGAAAGAGGAGATTGGGTGGGGCTGTGGAGGGGGTGGAGGGTGGGGGGTGGGGAGTGGGGAAGCAGGGATCTGGGTAATTTGGAGATGCTCTTATCTTTCTGGTTTGCCTTCAAGCTGCTGTCTCTGCTAATGCTAAATGTTGCCAGCTACCTAGTATGGCTAGGATGCAGGGCAACAGCTGGCCCACCGGGAGACCCTGTGCTAAGACTTCAGCCCAAATATCTGGCCTAGGAAGGCTCAACAACCTTGAGAGGTCAATGTGCTCTGGCAGAAGGGAGGTCAGATCAATGGGGAGACTGTTCTCTGGGCTAGGCAGAGATGGGGGGCGCAGGAAAAGAAGACAGCTGTAGCCTGGGCAGGTTGGGTACTGAGAATTTGGCTATAGAAGCTGGAACTGTCTGCCTGGAGAAAAGTCCTAGCCTGCCATGACTCTCTGAAGGGTGAGGGATTGGATTATGTGTGGGATGGCGATCTCCAAGGTTCAGAGATGGTTAGAGATGGAAGGGACATCCAAGAAGGGAGGTGGTAAGCTCTCTATAATTGGAGGTAGTCAAGAAGGTAAGCAACCATTCAGTGAGTTCTAATGGGGCTGAGAGTCAGATGAGGTGCCCTAAGATCTGAACTCCTGATAGTCTGTAGATTGGAGATTTGGGATAGTGGCTTGATACCTGTCAGCTCTTGTCAAAAGCTGCACTATTGTTGTCTTTTGGTCTGGATTGGATGCTTAGGTGTTCCAGCTTTAAGGGCTCAGAGGATGTCTTGGCAAGGGCTGGGGATACAGGTACTGTGTGAAGCTAGCTCCTTTGCACACTTCAAACTCAGTCACATTCTTTGGAAAACATCTGAAAAACTAATCTTATAGTGAGTCTCCTTTCCAATTATGTGAATCAAAAATAGCTGGATCTCTTGGCCTTTGGAAAGGGAACGTCACATGGGGGAGATGAACTCATGTTTCCTCCTTTGTATTGTTTTCTCCAAATTTCAATCCTTAAAATGTTTTAATTTTTCTCACCCTTCCTTTTTCATCCTTTCTAGGAAGTCTGTGCTACCTCAAAGAGACAAGAGCTCTTAGGTGTTTTTCAAACAGGGTTGATATTGGTATTTGGAGTGAAACACTTAGTGATGGCCCTGCTCAGTGTAGTATATTTAACATCCTGAAAATATCTTTTTCTTATTGAATTCCAGCAACACTTGCCAGTCTTCTTTTTTGGGGGTTTTTACTGGGGATTGAACTCAGGATCACTCTGTCACTGAGTCACATCCCCAGCCCTATTTTGTATTTTATTTAGAGTCAGGATCTCACTGAGTTGCTTAGGGCCTCCTAGTTGCTGAGGCTGGCTTTGAAGTTGTGATCCCCCTGTTTCAGCCTCCTGAGCTGCTGTGAGACAGTCTTCTTGGTAACCAAAAATCTACACAAATTTCCAAACATCCATTAGAGAAGTAACATTAGTCATCTCACACTTTGAAAACCATTGACTGATTCCCCCCAAGAGTGCCTTGCTAAAGGCTATACATCAGGCTGTGGCAAAGCGAAGACCAAGTCAAATCTTATTCATTCTTTCATTCTTAGCATTTTGATTCTTCACTAGGGGGTGTGTCTGAAAAGAGGCCGTGAAGAGGGGCCAGTTTCACTCTTAACTCCCTGCTCACGAAACTACAATTTCTCAAAATTTTTCTGCTCTTATCAAACTCCGTTTTGGTGTTCCAGTCCGCCGTTTCCAAAATTGCAGGCGCAAATACAGACTTTGTGGCAATTAGTGCAAAGAGCCTAGTGGAACAGGATCTGCAAGGGCGGAGTCAGATTCCTTTCGAGTGGGCAGCGGGATCCAAGGGCCGAAACATCCTAATCTCTAAGAGGATGCAGCGGCTCTCAGCTGGGCATGGAGGAGGGAACTATACCCAGGCCCCTGCCGCTGTGTTGCCGCGGAACTGGGTAGAGGTGGAGGACCGTCGGTCCTAGTAGGTTGGCCCAGGGAGGTTTCCCCAGGCAGTGGAGCGGACTAAGGGCCAGGGGCCAGGACCGGGGCTCCGGGCCGCGGCGCGGCGGGAGCAGAGGGCAAGGCAGCTGGGCTCGACCTCGCCTTCCCACGCCAGAGGCCGAGGCCTCTGGGAATCCAGGGGCCATCTCTGCAAAGTCCTTCGAGATCGCAGCTCAGTTCAGAGAGGACGGTGCGGGAGGGATGGGCAAGAGAGAATATTATTATTATTCTGTTTTGCCTCCGCAGCCGACGCCGGCGGGTTGTTCTGTTTGAATGAATGATCCCAGCGGCCGCGCCCAATGGGCGCGGGCGCCTACTTAATATGCATAAGGCCAGCAGCCAATGGCCATGCGAGGAGGCTGTTTTAAACGGCGGAGCCCGCTGGCCAATCAGGCGGCTCTCGTGGAGGCAGCTAGCGCGAGGCTGGGGAGCGCTGAGCCGCGCGTCGTGCCCTGCGCTGCCCAGACTAGCGAACAATACAGGTACGTTTCGCACTGCCCGCGCCCGCCACCGCCACCGCCACCGCCGCCGCCGCAGCAGCAGCAGCTCCCGCACAACTTTCCGGCCCGCGCCACCGCGAGCGCGTCTGCCACCGCTTTCCCCTGCCTCTCCTTCTGCGCCCTTCCCGCCCCTTCGCCTTCTCTCTCTTGCTAGGTGGCCGGGAAGGAAGACGCGATTCAGGTGTCTCAACTTTTCAAATGCTTTTGCCCTAGCTCCCCGCCTTTGGGGCTTGGCACCCTCGGCGGAACCAAGCTCAGCAGTCGCCCCCAGGGGCGGCCGAGGGGCCAGGGCTCCCAGGCCAGATGTTCTGCAGCTGCGGTGGCGCGGCGGGGCGAGCTGAGGGGCGGCTGCGGGTTGCGGGCACTGGCGGCGCGCGTCCCGGCGCCAGGCGGGCGGCGGCAGCGTGAAGGGGACCCGGTACACCCCGGCCCGAGAGGGACTCAGCTGGGAGCGGGCAGCCGGTGCCCACCGAGGGCTGCGGCGCCGGCAAACTTCGCTCCAGGGCTTGGCCGGGCGCCCTGCGGGCCCGCGGGCTGCGCTGCGGGCTCTGCATTAACATGGCCGTCGCGGAGCGCCGGGCGGCCCGGGGGGGGGGGGGCTCGAGCCGGCTGCCCCCCGCTCGACTCCAGCTCACCGGGCGCCGCCGCTGGGGTTAACATGGCTGGCGCGGTGCGGGACTCCAGTGAGAGGCGGAGAGGCGGGCGGAATGAGCGGCGGGAGCTCGTGGCGGGTTCTGGCCTCCGCCAGGGTGCCCGCGGCCCCGGGCGGGAGGCGTGAAGGGCTGGGGGCGCTGCCGCGGGCCCCGGCGCGGCCGAGCGTCATGGCTGCACGGGCGCCTTTGTTATCCCGAGGAGTGCGCCCCTCGCCGGGGGGCGGGGAGGTCCGGCCAGTGGCCCTTGCGCCCCGGGCGACCCCGGCGGGGCGGGGCGGGGTGGGGGCCTGCCAGCGGGTGGCGGCGGCGGTGGCGGGGCCCGGGCCGCTTTGTTCGCCGCCGCCGCCGTCGCCGCCTGCGCCGGCCGCGCGCGGATCAGCCATTTTAGCGAGCTGGGCTAAGGAGGCGCGGCGGGCGCCACAGCCACTGCCGCGGCTGCTGCCGGCCCGGCCCCACACCCCCCGCGGACGCCTGCCGCCGCGGCCCCGGGTTCCACACGCCCCCCGAGGGTGGCAGCATAGGATTTGAGGGGCACTTTCTTTCATCAGGAGGCTTTTGACAAAATGGAAGGTGAATTATGGGTGTCCGGGGGACCGGGCACCGGGGCGAGTCGGGCTGCAGGATGGGGCTCCCCCGCTCCGGGTCCCGCCCCACCAGCGTTGCCACTGCGGGGCTCTAATGCAACCCCGGGGGCGGTCGATGCCAAGGGGAGTGCTTTATTTTTACATGATGACCTTGGGTGTGGGAAAAGGAAAAGATGGCGGGAAGCTGGGGGGTGGGACAGGGAAGATGACACGCCACAGCTGCATTTTTATTTGGAAACTTTAGAGAAAGTATTCCTGGCTGGACCTGCATTCTGCGTTACACATGGACAAGACTAGCCTTTTCGATATCTCCTACCCCTTTAGATACTGAAGGATTTGAACTACTAGTACAAGGGATACCTGCTCACTTTCCAGATTACCAGTGTTTTAAAAGCCATAATGCCTTGTCCGGTAGTGACATTTCAAATGTTCCCTATTTAGTTTTTTTTTCCCCTTTGATGTTGTTCAGTAGCGAGATGACAATATTTTGTAAACGTATAGCCAGCCAGCTTTAAATCATTTTCTTCAAGCTTATGTTATATACTCCCTACAAATGTTTCCTCTCTGTGCTCTTCCCACTTTGTGTTGTAGTTTATAAAACGTAGTGCTTCAGTAATGTAGCACTGAGCACCCCACTTACGTTAGCTCCATTTGGAGAACTTGATCGCTCTGGAGAAGTAACTCGCAAACCAGCGCGCTTCATGCTGGTCAAAAGTTAAATGACAAGCGACAGTGAAGCTGCTTTCCTTCCTACTCTGCCTTCTTGCCAGTGATGTCAGGTGTTGGGTGAAGGGGGCTTTCTAACAACTAACTTAATTTTGCTCTTCCTTTGGTATTTATTGTAGTTTTGTTTCTCGTTGTCATTCCTTGTTTTTGTTCTTCTTCTTTCCATCTATCACAGTCAGGATGGCTAAAGGTGACCCCAAGAAACCAAAGGGCAAGATGTCTGCTTATGCCTTCTTTGTGCAGACTTGCAGAGAAGAACATAAGAAGAAAAATCCAGAAGTCCCTGTCAATTTTGCAGAATTTTCCAAGAAGTGCTCTGAGAGGTGGAAGGTATTTTTCTTTTGCAACTTCATAGTAGGCTTAGTTGTACTTCATATTTTGGGGTTACATTCCTAGAAAGTCACCCCGTATGGCTCTTTTATTTCTAACTTAGACATTATCTTGCTTGTCTTTTTAATTTTGCGTGTGTACCTTTGTTAAGGCTCTGTAATGGTTTAAATTCTTTGTTCGTCTTTTGTAAGTGGTTCTTTAGATGTCACTTTATTTAATTACAGAACAGTTGGGCAAGTATGTGCTCACTGCATTAAGGAATTTAACAGGTCCTGTTCTTTGCAGACAATGTCTGGGAAAGAGAAATCTAAATTTGATGAAATGGCAAAGGCAGATAAAGTACGCTATGATCGGGAAATGAAGGACTATGGACCAGCTAAGGGAGGCAAGAAGAAAAAGGACCCTAATGCCCCCAAAAGACCACCGTAAGTGGCTATACACTTGAAATAACAAGAGCTTTCTTTCTGCTTTGAATATTTTTTAAAAAGATATTTTAGTTAAGAAATGAGATGCCTCTGCAAAACATTCTAAACTTTTCAGCTTTAAAATGCAATACCAGTATTGTCCATAGTTAGGGCTGATGTGTTTATTGGCTCTCTGTGTGTGTATCATGTATAAGTGCATGTGCACCAGTTGCCTGTTGGCCCTTCCACTGAGAAGGATGCACCCTAGTTCTGGGAGCCAGTGTCTTAAATATGTTCTTTACCCTTTAGCCAGTAACGGTAATAAAGAACCATACATTTTGGAAGCATCTTAACCATTCTAGAGTCTATAGCTCTATAGCATTGAATGTAGTATGACAGGGAGAACTTGTGCTGAGAGGTATGTGAGCTCAGGAACATGGGAATTAAATCTAAGCTCATGATTTTGTGCTTTCTCTAAGTTATCTCTCTCTCTCCTCCAAGGTCTGGATTCTTCTTGTTCTGTTCAGAATTCCGCCCCAAGATCAAGTCCACAAATCCTGGTATCTCCATTGGAGATGTGGCAAAAAAGCTGGGTGAGATGTGGAATAACTTAAGTGACAGTGAAAAGCAGCCATACATCACTAAGGCTGCAAAGCTGAAGGAGAAATACGAGAAGGTAAGGTGGACTAGAATCTGCCATAGTATTGGTGGGTTGTGGGGTATGTGGCTGCTTTGCTGGGCCAAGTACTTGGCACAGCATGCAGCAGCCCATCTCCCAAGATCAGCCCTGTGTGTTGGTGTTGATACTAAATGGCAGATTTTTGTCTTAGGCATAATTTTTGCAGTGCTGAGGATCAAATCTAGGGCTTCATATCATGCTGTCTACCACTGAGCTGTATCTTCAGCCCCAGTTTTTAAGTGCAGTGCTGGGGATGCATGTAGCTCAGCAGTACATTGCTTGCCTATCAGTGCAAGATCCTTGACTTCATCCCCGGTGCTACAAAAAAATTGATAATGAATATTGATAGGGCTGTTGATATGACTTAAAAGATACTTCTGTGTCCTTTAACTTTAGAATTTGAATGGCCAAGAAACAATTGTGTATATGGAAACAAATACTTAGAATATAATAGTAGCCCTGTCTCCTGTCTTTGCAATTCCTGATTTCTTACCTGAGGCGAGGGCTGCATGCTTCTACATTTTGCTTGAGATCTCGGACACTCATTCAGAATGTGTCCCTGTTCCTTCCAGGATGTTGCTGACTATAAGTCTAAAGGAAAGTTTGATGGCACAAAGGGTCCTGCTAAAGTTGCCCGGAAAAAAGTGGAAGAGGAAGACGAAGAAGAGGAGGAAGAAGAAGAGGAGGAGGAGGAGGAGGAGGATGAATAAAAAAACTGTTTATCCGTCTTCTTGTGAATACCTTAGAGTAGGGGAGCGCCATGATTGACACATCTTATTTGAGATGTGTCTGTTACTCTCATTAGGTTTAATTTCAGAATTTGATCACGATCATATTGTAGTCTCTCAAAATGCTCTAGAAATTGTCAGTGGTTTACATGAAGTGGCCCTGGGTGTCCAGAGCACCCTAAAACTGTATCAAAGTTGTACATATTTCCAAACATTTTTAAAATGAAAAGGCACTCTCGTGTTCTCCTCACTCTGTGCACTTTGCTGTTGGTGTGACAAGGCATTTGAAGATGTTTCTGGCATTTCTTTTTAATTTGTAAGGTGGTGTTAACTATATGGTTATTGGCTAGAAATCCTCAGTTATCAACTGTACATATCTATAGTCTGTAAAAAGAACAAAACAACCGAGACAAACTCTTGATGCTCCTTGCTTGGCGTTGAGGCTGTGGGGGGAAGATGCCTTTTGGAGGGGCCGTAGCTCAGGGCGTGCACTGTGAGGCTGGACCTGTTGACACTGCGGTGGGCATCCATTTAGCTTCAGGTTGTCTTGTTTTTGTATATAGTGATATAGCATTCTGCTGCCTTTCTTAGTTGTGGAAAAAGGGGGGTCAGCTGGCATGAGAAGTGTTTGAATTTTTTTTTAGTTAAGTACGGTAGATTTTAAACTTTGTTTCAAACAAACTGTAGAACTCTTCATTGTCAGCAAAGCAAAGAGCTACTGCATCAATGAAAGTTCAAGAACCTTCTGTACTTAAATGCAATTTGCGACGTTATGTTATTTTTTGTATGTTTAGAATGCTGAAATGTTTTTGAAGTTAAATAAACAGTATTACATTTTTAAGACTGTTCCTCCCTATAAATCTGGTAACTTCTATTTTACTCACATGGTCAGCTTAGGACTGAGATGAAGGAGGGGGCTACTTGAAGTTACTGCATGATTTGTTGTATCTGAATGGCATTAAGATGAAGTGTAGACCAGTGAATGTAGTGACAGGCAAGGGCCAGCATCCTTCAGTAGTGTTCAGGAAGGCAGGCAGGCGGGATGGCGGCCAGCTAACTCCAGATTTTACTTCTTACCTTCGGCTTCTACATCCCCTTTTGGTGTCAAATGCATTGCTAAACAGTAAGAATGTCTTCCAGAGTATATAGGGTTTAAAACTTCATACCTTATTTATTCTCACTCCTCTCTGACTCCTGCACATGTAATGGGATGCATAGTTATTTCTTGTGCTCAACATTTGAGGAGGCCTTAAATTGCTGCTTGTCTCCTAGACCCCAGTGAGGGGGGATGGGGTGGGGTAGGGGACATTATCCGTATTTTGGCCCTGTTTTCCTCATTCAAAAAATCAGACATTCCAAGAAAGTTTCTTAAGTCCCATCTTGGGTCACTTCAGCAGGCCGATAGGATCAACATTTCTAAGCAGTAAGTGTATCATGAAATAGAGAGTGGCCTACCTGTGATTTGAGCTTATTCACCAGAAATGTAGATTGTTGTTCAATGTTCTTAAACTGAAAGAAGCTTGGTTTGTGTTTCAGTGGTTGTATTAGTAAATGGTGTTAACATTTTGCCCAGGATAGGATGGGGGTGGTTGCTACAGTGGCAAATGGTGATACTAAATATCAGTGGATGGCTTATCTGTACTTCATTGAAGTAACAAATGATAATACTGTTGTGGGTGTGTCAGCATTGCCTAGCATTAACACTTGGATATAGACATTTTTTTCTTTTTTTCTTTGTGTGTATGGTATTTTACAAGAAAGCAGCTTTTTCTTAAAAGTTCACTCTTCGGAACCTTGCTTGTCTAAGGAGCTGTCTACTGTGTCAGGTCCTAGATGAGTGCAAGTCATGGTCACAGCTGATCTTCATTCATAACCATTCCCTCTCCATCAGAACTGTTTGTCCTAAATATGTTTTTTTTTTAATTCTTCCACTAATTTAAAAACCCTTGGTCATTAGGTTTGCCCAGAGGCACTTGTTCCAGGATTGTTCATCCTGCTTTAGCCATGCCCTTGTCACTTGGCATTCTAAACTGAAACTGCTACTACTGCACAATGCACAATGTACAGGCCAACCTCATCAGATATGGAAGAGATGCTCAACCTGTAATCCCAAGGAAGTAGTTTTCTAACTATGGGAGGGGGTGGATTTTATGCTCCCTCAGTAGCCAGATAGAAGTGGGGGGTAGGTTTTAGCTAAATGATGTTTGATTAAGCAGACTTGGTTATAGAGAGACTCCAGTTGCTTGTTACAAGACCACTACTCTTAAGGTTTTCACACTGCAACTAGATGCCCCAGTGGAATGTTGTTCTCTAGCTTCTCTGAGATGCTTTAAGTGGCATGATGTTACCACAAAAGGTTAGGCTTAGCTTGATTTCTGGACCAATCCTCTTGCAATGCCAACCTGTTATTAAGTCAAAAGGACAGTACTTTTTTCTCAAACACACTCTTCCAACCCCCTTACCCTGTTCTTGAGTAATGTTTTATCTTTTGGAAAGAACAAGGCTGTAATGTAGCAACTATTGTCTGTGTCTCCCTTGTGTCTGTTCTTGTCACAAATGTACTTGGGGACGTTGGATGCATTCATTTTCTGTAATAAAGTTTCTTAATCAGTCTTCCCAAAAAGTAATCAGTGGGCTGTCTGTAATCTGTTTGAGCTATTGGGCCTCTGTGGTTTTGGTTGGTGAGAATTGGTATTTTAGAAAGTACCAACACTGTTGTTTGTAACCATTGATCTGAACTATTATTAACATTTAGTGGAATGATATCCCAAATGCCAAGTGTGAAGGACTCCAAGACCCCTAGATTGACCTTTTAGCCAGGGGAGTAAGGGGGAGTTGGCTCTGGAGCTCCGTGCCTGGATAAATATGCAATTTGCAGGATGCTAACAGGCTGCTGTTTGATAAAGTGGCTGGGTACTTGTAATCGGTCAGCCCTGCCAACCAGGGCTCCCTGAGGCTGAGGGTCCAGGCTTAGTTGGCTGACAGAGCCAGGCCCAACAAGGACTTCTGGATAAGAGCCATGGGGGCTGCTTTGCTGTTCTTGGCTCCCTGCTTAGTTTTCTGTGGAGCTCAAGGCTACCTGGGAGGGAAAGGACAGTGAGCCAGCTTGGCAGCCCCAGTCCTCTCTGCCTGCACCATAGCAGTCCCCCCACCCTGTTTTATATATTGGGCATCCTTCTAGGGTTTCAGCTTTTTAAAACAAAAAAACTGGACACCATATTGATGGAAAAACAAGCATGATTATCTTTTTTTAATAACTTTTTTTAAAATTTGGTGCTGAGGATCAAACCCCATGTGCAAGTGCTCTACCACTGAGCTATAGCCCCAGCCCCCAAGCATGATTATCTTAATAGGCACATAAAGTAATTTGATAAAATCCAATGATCTTTAGTTATTTAAAAAAAAAAAAAACAGAAAACTAGGAGAAGGGAATTGCTCAACCAAACAAAGGGCACTTGGGAAACCTCACAGCTAACAATCTAGATGAAAGGCTACAGGCTTTCCCCTGTCAAGGAATAAGACAAGAACACCAATTTTTGCCACTTTCATTCATTACTGTGTTAGAAATTTGAGCTAAGGTATTAAAGTAGGAAAACAGGAAATGAAAGAAGTGTATTTCAGATGATATGATGTTTTTATATAGAAAATCCTGCAAGGTGCTGTGGTGCACAAGTGTAATCCCAGCAGCTCAGGAAGCTGAGGCAGGAGGATGGAGAGTTTAAAGAGCCTCAACAACTTAGCAAGACCCTGTCTCAAAAAACAACACATGCACACACAAAAACCCTTGGATGTGGTTTAGTGGTTAAGCACCCTCGAGTTCTATCACAACCCCCCCCCCAAAAAAAAAAAAAAAACCTAAGGAATTAGAAAATAAAAGTGTTAGGACAAATGAGTTCAGCAAGGTTGTAATATGAAGATGAATATACAAAAATTAGCTCGTGGCACACATGAGGCCTTGGGTTTGATCCCCAGCATTGCAAAATTTTTAAAAAATAATGTTATTTCCAAACACCAGCAGTGAACAATCTGAAAATTAATAACATTTATGTTTAACATAAAAAACTGTTTAGGAATAAACTTAGTAAAAAGTGAAAAACTTATGTGGGGGAAATGACAGCTGGATTCTTTGTAGAAATTGAAAAGATGACCAGGATAGCAGACCAATCTTGAAAAAGATTGTTGAAGGGTCCACATGTCTTGATGTCTACAAAGCTACAGTAATCAAGATAGTCTGCTACTGGTATAAGGACAAATGTAGGTGTATGAAATAAAACCGTCCAGAAATAAACCCAGACATCTGTGGCCAATTGATTTTCAACAAGGGTACAAATACCATTCAGTGGGGGAAATAATCTTTTCAACAAATGTTGGAATAACTGGATATCCACATGCAAAGGAATTTTCTCCCTTACCTTGTGCCAATTAAAAAAAAAAATCCAAAGTAGGAGCTCAAACTTTAAAATTTGCAGTAGGAAACATATGTATAAGTCTTCATGGCCTTAAAGTTGGCAATGGTTTCACCAAAAGCATAAGCAACTAAAGGAAACAACAGATAAATTGAGCTTCATCAAAAATTTTAAAAAGCCAAACAACTTTTGTGCTTCAACAACACCAGCACAGAAGTGAAAAGATCAATAGAAGAGGAGGAAATGCTTTCAAATCACTTATTTGATAAGGATCTAGTCTCCAAAATATAGAGAATTCTTACAGGTCAACAATAAAGACAACTACCCCAATTAAAAATGGTCCAAGTATCTGGATAGACAGTTCTTCACAGAAGATGCATACATAGTGAATAAACATGAAAAGATATTTGGCATCATTATCTATTAGCATATATAAATCAAAGCCATAATAAGATACCACCTTACACCCATTAGGATGGCTTTAATAATAATAGTAATAATTAAGGAGAATAACAAATTGGTGAGGATGAGGAGAAACTGGAAACATGGTAGGAATGTAAAATGGTGCAGTTGTTATGGAAAACAGTTTAGAGATTCCTGAATAAGTTAAGCATAGAATTGCCATATGACCATCAAGTCCACTCCTAGGTGTACACCCAAAGAAAGAGGGCAAGATGTGCTGGCACATGCCTGTAATCCTAGCATCTTGAGAGGCTGAGGCAGGAGGATCACAAATTCAAGGCCAGCCAAAGCACCTTAGTGAGACCCTGATTCAGGAAATAAAAAGAGCTGGGGATGCTCAGTGGTAAAGTGCCCCTGGGTTTAATCCCCAGTACCAGAAAAAAAAATTGAAAAAGGTATTAAAAACAAATTCTTGTATATGAATATTCATGCACATTATTCCTAATAGCTCCAAAGTGGAAACAACCCAAACGCCTATCAAGTGATGAATATAGTATATGCACATGATGGAATACTATTAAACTGTGAAAAGGAATGAAGTTTTAATACATTCTATCACAAAGGTGAACTTTAAATCAATATGCTAAGGGAAAGGAGCCAGTCACAGAAGATCACATATTGTATGATTCAATTCATGAGTTATTCAGAATAGGCAAATCTACAGAAAGTAAATTAATGGTTACCTAGGGCTGTGAGTTATTAGGAGAAAATGAAGAAGTGACTGCTAATAAATACAGAATTTGAGGGGGGGCATAATGAAAATTAGTGGTTATTATTGTACAACTCTGAATTTTCAAAAAATTGTATATTTTAAGTGGAATCTGAATTATATCTCAGTAAAACTGTTGAAAATAAATGATGGAATGTATTATACACTAAAAAGTCATATTTTTTGTGATGCTGGGGTTCAAATCCAGGGCCTTGGACACAAATGGCAACATCATGTTGTTTTGATTACTAGACAGTTTTATTT